CTTATAAAGAGGCAGGGCAGGAAAAGGAGAAAGAGGAAGAGGGCCGTGTATGAACCTCCCTGCCGGGTGCCTGTAAGGCGTCTGGGGAGACTAGATTCGCTTATGTAAAAAGGGCTGCTGCACACCAAAACAAGGCCTTATTACCTGACTAAGTATTACACAAATAGTCGGTATGAGTCATGGTTAAATGGCACGCCGGGGGACACAGCAGAGATAATTGTTCTGGAAGATGCATTGAATGTACCCGAAGGGAGATGAATGATAAAAATTGTTAATTCCATTTGAGTTGAACAATCTAGAAAGACTACACAGACCAGAGTGTGAAGGAGACCAACTCAACACTGACAGAGCCTGAAAATCTCCATTCTAACTTCCAGGGAAAATCTGTGTGTAAGGCCATGGGGATGCCATGGGGTGTGCATGGGATGGCCTCAATCTAACGCTCTTTCTGTTATGTTCAAAAAGGCCCTTTGCTGTCACCTTCCCAAGGCCTCAATGAACTCAGTGATGGGACTGGAATACTCATTCCTTACTACGCTTGGGTCCTCAGGGCAGGCGTGGGGAATATATACTTTACCTGTAGGGCTTTGCTTCATTGGAGAGAGAGGGAAAAAAAACAAAGAAAACCAATTTAGAAGCAAATCTGAAAAAAATTAGTATTTGTTCCTTTGAGGGAGAGGACATATATGGATGTTTACTATATGGCCCTTTGTACTTTCGTGTATTTTCATTTTTTTCTCAGTATTAAAAAAAGAGTGGCATTTTTAATTAGCAACTACTAAAACCAACTATTTAGTCTACAGCCAATTTTCATATTGCAACTGCAGCCATACCAAACCATGTCTTTTGTTGTTTGTTTTCCATTTTCTTTCTCTCTCTCTCCCCCCTCCTCTCTTTCTCTCCTTTCTTTCTGACAGTCTCTGTTGCCCAAGCTAGGGTGCCCTGGCATCAGCCTAGCTCATAGCATCGTCAAACTCCTGGGTTCAAGTGATCTTCCTGTCTCAGCCTCCTGAGTACCTAGTACTGCAGGGGCACCTGCCACAAAACCCAGCTAATTTTTCTATTTTTAATGGAGACAAGGTTTTACTCTTGCTCAAGGTTGGTCTGGAACCCCTGAGCTCAAGCAGTCCTCATGCCTCCACTTCCTAGAGTGCTAGGATTACAGATGTGAGCCACTCAGCCCGGCCTGTTTTCCATTTCTTAGGAAAGAGACTAAAAACATGCAAGGTCCTCTAACCACCACTTCAGGGAACTTAACTCCCTCTTGCCCAATTATGCACAGCTCCATCTTTGCCAGGGCAAGTCGTCTAGGAAATCCAGAACACTTCTATGTTTGTGTGTTTCCTATCACTTCCTCCCATCATCTCCACCAGGATGAAAGCTCCACGGGGTGGACTCTGCTTTGCTTATCACTTTTATTTTTTTTTTAAGGGAAATCTTTCTGTTTTATTTTATTTTATTTTTTGGCTGGGGCTGGGTTTGAACCCTCCACCTCCGGCATATGGGGCCGGTGCCCTACTCCTCTGAGCCACAGGTGCCGCCCTGCTTATCACTTTACCCCATCCATCTAGCATAATGCCTGGCACATAACAGGTCCTTAATGAATATTTGCTGAAGGAATGAATGAGTTCTCAGAATACACATGAAGTGTCTTGGTTCTCTGAAAATGTCATTAGAAGGTATGCCTTGTCTGCCAGCTTCCCGTGAGTCCCTTAAGGATCCTCTAGCATTTTGGGCCTTGGCCTTGAGGGCCAGACTAGCTCCCATAAAGTTAACTGCCACCATGCTACAGTAAACTAATGACCTTTGAGACGAACCCTGGAAAGATGAGCTATATCTAGGCCTTTTCCTGCAGTTTCTAATACGAGGTTAGGGTGTTTTATAAGTGTGGGGAAAGCCCACAGTTGCAGCCTATAGACTTCATTTACTATTTCTTCCTTACCTTTTTTACCCAGCCTCCTGGAAGGAAATACAGTCATTCTTCAGTATGGGGGGATTGGTTCCAGGATGCCCCACTGATACCAAAATCCACAAATGATCAAGTCCCTAATATAAGATAGTGTAGTATTTGCATATGACCCACACGCATGCTCCCACATACTTTAAATCATCTCTAGATTACTTGCAATACTAATGCGATGTCAATGCTATATAACTGTTTGTTAGCCTGTACTGTGTAGGGAATAATGACAGGGAAAAAAGTCTTTAAATGTTTAGTACAGATGCGGATATCTTTTTTTCCCCAAATATTTTGGGTTGAATCTTTATTCATTTCTTGGCCAACTTTTAGCCTTTCTACTTTTTACTTCTACTAGTGTTTGCCATTTTTTAATTTCTTTCTTCCTCAAGGGGTGTGTAACGAATACAAAATTTACTTTCTGGAGAAAAGAATTTATCTCACACCACAAGTGAGTGTCTAATGGAGATAAAACAAAACAAAAACAATTAATTAGAGCTTCCTTGTCAAAATTCAAGTGAGATTTTTGTTTTCTGTTGTGTTTTTGTTTGTTTTTTTCTCCTGCTCCTCCTCCTAAAGTGAGTTTTCAGTTCTCTAGAAAAGAAACTGTGGAGAGCCTGGAAATGGGAGTTGTCATCTGCTTGTCCCAAGGCCTCCCGTTTCCTGGCCCAAGTGGTCATCTCTGGGCAAGATCACCTCCCAGACTCGGAAAATTCAAGTATCCTGGAGCCAGTAGGGAATTTCCATGCAAGGAATGGGACAGCAAAAGCCTGGAAAACAGAAACCGAGGGTCTACAACTCCAAGCCAGATATTTTGCTGGGGCACTCGCCAGGCCATGCTGAATGAAGAAAGATGTCCACTGTTTTACTCTCTAGAAGACATTCCATTTAGCCCCTGCCTATGTGGCTGTGTGGTGCTTAATCGCTCAGAGCAGCCGCTTTCTTCTCCTTGGAGACTCATAGTCCTCCTCAGCTGCTCTTATTTTGGGAGTCTGTTACACAGCTTGAGTAGGTTTTAGGCACATCAGAAGAGCTGCAGTCCCCGGGATAGTTCCTGGGAGCTATGGGATCTCAACCAGCTAACTGGAGACCTCAGCGCCCTAGTTCTAAGTTCCCAGGATTCATTCTGAGATTTGCTGATCTCGAAATCCTGCCTTCAGCAAGATAATTCAGAGAGGTTTCCCCAGAGCTCAGAGTTTGCCTAAAGCTACGTGTTCACTTAGTAAGTGCCTGCTCTGTGCCTTCTCAGAGCTGGGACAGGCCACCCAGTCAGCACTGCTGTCCCAGGAGACCAGGATGTCCAGTCACCTTTAAATAATCCAGACTTCAGTCTTTCTCTCTCTTCTGGCCAGGGCAAATGTGGCTCTCACAGTGGGCACACCCATAGAGGAAATACAGCTTTCTACTCCTAGGTAATAACTAACATTTATTAAGTGCCTACTGTGTATCTGACACTGTCCTAAGCAATCCAAATACACTAACACTTTAACATGCACAACTCTACAAATAGGTACCATTAGCTCAGTTTCGCATACAAGAAAACAGAGATGGTGACCAGCAGAGACATGACCAGCAGTGGCTGGTACGGACTCTGGCCCACTAAGGGCCTGCACGTTCAACTCGCGTGGTCCCCTGTGCCCCTATAAGCTGTCTTTTCAGCTTCTGAGATGTGAGAAAGGGAGAAGAGGCTTCACGGAACTAATTTGTCAATGAAAGAGGAAAAGCACAACCATCCTAAGAGATTTTGAAAGCAGATTGAATACAAATACAAAACCTAAGCCTGAGAAATTGCTGCTGGACAGCTGAAACCCAGGAAGCAAATAAACATCTGCTGGTGAGCTGTTGGTGTGACCAGTGGCTTATTAGAGAGTTTATAAAACTATCTGAGTTACACGTGTGGGAACATGGAACTATTTGAGTGGTGTCTGGGGACAGTGTGCATCCTGGCACCCTAACGCATGATCTAGCTGGGCAGTCATTAACAGAGTGGCCAACTGCTAGGACACCCAGGCCGGAATGAGGTTGGTTTTCATTTGTTTGCTTCTCGTTAGACTTTGTGTGGAATGAGGCCACGAAAGGGAGCCTGAATCTGCTCACTCAGAGTCTTGGACGCTGTAAATTCACAGCAGCAAGATTGCTTAACTCCTGTGCTGTCCTTCCCAGTGAAGATTTCTAAACTGGGCAAGTGCTTTCCTGAGTAGTTCTCCGGCCCTTTCCTGCCCACTGGGGAGGGTGTGTTGAGAACCCCCTGGTGGGTGGCAGGGCTCCAGCGGGGCAGGGGCAGCCCAGGGCAGGGGCAGTGGCAAGCTGGGCAGCCTCCTCCCCGCTGGCAGCTGAAAGGCCAGGCCTGCCCTGGGCCTGGGGAGGACAAGTGGTAGCCTGCAGAGGCAAGGCTTGCAGTGTGGTGCCCGGGGAACTAAACCTACACTAACCACAACACTGGGCTGCTGGGCAGTGCTGGTGTCTCCTAGGCAACAGGCTGAACAGGATCACTCCTTAGAAAAATCTTCCAACCAGCCTGGCTCTTTCCTGACAGCACCAGGGGCTCCGGGAAAATAATGAAGGCTATGGATGGGCTGTGGTGAGTGCCCAGAGACTAACCCTCTAAGTTAGGCTGCTTTCTTGTGTTTGGGTTCAAATAGAAAAACAAGACCATGACCACTGACTCCTTAAATTCAGAACTATAGGGGTAAACACTCGAAAGTCATCCTCGCAGTACAAGAGGTTGGAAAAAAAAAATAACAAAAAGCTACTTGCCTCTTCTCTCGGTAACATCCAGTTCTGTGCTGGAAAACTCCATTCCTCCCAAGAGGCATGATGAGTGTGTGTTTTTCTAAGCTGATTGTATCCTTTAACCTAGACGCCTCTGTGACACAGGGACGAGTAAACAGCAGTGATCAGGCTGTCTGGGCGGGCGCGAGCCTGCGGCGCGTGGGTGCTGCTTTTCCTAATTATTACAGCATAACTTCCTTTTTGCTTTCCCAGACTAAATCTCAGCAGTGAGGCATGATGTGTAAACTCCTTATGTGTTTGCTCTTTTCAGTTCTAGGGAAAATCCGAACCGCAGTGGGCAGTGCCCAGCTCCTCATGGCCCAGAAATTCTACCAGTTCAGAGAACTGTGTGAAGAAAACCTGGTAGGTAACATTCCCCTTCACCCCGATCTCCCTGCTAAGCACCATGAGAGGAGCCAGGTACCCCAGCTGGCCCAAGTGAAACTGATTGTGAACCAAGTCGAGGCCCAGTGACGTCTCTTACCTGGAAGAGAAACTTTTCTGATGAATCTTATTTCCTGCTTTTCTTTAAAACTAAAATATTTATTTTACACTTAAATAATCTTGGAGAAAAAAAATCCAATCGAGTTAAAACTCTGGTTTCCTGCTTTTTTGTCACTGGAAAATTTCCATTTTCCTGGCTTTCACACGGCATCTCTGATTTCATTATTCTTACAAAAAAATATGATAGTTCTAAAATGATATTGCCAAAATAACTATTTTGGGTAGTGATTTTCTTTCTAAAATAGCAGTCAATGACTACTTCCGAGTCAGAATTCTCAGCTTTAACCCAAGTACCAGTGGTCTAGAGCATTACAAGGGGTGGATTTGATTTCCCTGGGGTAAAGGAAGATATTGTCCTCCTCAGTAAACAGACAAAAACAGGATAAAGTGAAAGAAGGAAACAAAGACAATACCATCAACAGCAGCCTTTTAAAACTTACTGCGGAATAAAAGGTCAAGAGCTTCCTCATACATGCCTTTTAGGTTAAAAAAAATTGCTACTATCTCTTCAATCACAATTCCACAGGAATAGCTTTTATTGCTCGATTTTTGGTTAAGGTGGATGTATAACAAAAAAAAAGAATGAGGAGAAGCTTGTTTGTCTTGTGGAAAATGAAAACATAATTATTTGTAATCTAGATGATCCCAAATCTGATTTTAGAGGATTTTCTTTTACTTACATCCCCAACAGTTAACAGGCATGATTTTAGAATTTTAACCATTAACAGGCATGATTTTAAAATTTTAACCACTTCTTGTTCACAAGGACAAATATAGATGGAAAGAGATTTATTTAGACAAAGATCAACCAAGAGAAAATACAAAGCATGGAAAAGTTGATACCACCCCACCCCCCCAGCCCTGCAAACACACCTATAGCTTGTTTGTCCTCCTGGCAATAAAAATAACCTGACCTTTCTTTTACCTTTTTAGAAATCTATTCTGGATTAGGAGATAATTTATATTAGTAAATGTATCGATATGTGCAATCCCGTAAATATTTTACTAGGGTTCAGCTACGTGCCACATATGGAATTTCTGCCCATTTGCAAAACTGCTCATGCGCCATGTGGTTCTTCATTCTGGACATGTAAGAAAGCTCATAGAAAGCTACGTTGCTCTGCAGGCCAGCAGGCACATGAGGAAGTCAACGTGTGCATCTGCGGAGAAAAACACAGCATAGCTTGTTAAAAGAATGATATGTTGCGCAGTATATTATGAAGTAGAATGTAAACATTGCACAGATTTTAAAGATGAGATTGCAGATGCATTTTGACTTCTAGGAAATGCTTACCTTGTTAAAGGTAAATTTTTAGCACTTCCTCGTTCTTGATGGGCTCACATTCCTTGGCCACTAGAGGAACTTCAGGGGTAAAATATGAGAAACTCTTTTAGAGGTAGACTGAGGCACACAGGGGGTAGGAGGGCCATGATGCTGCTCAAATCTGGCCCCTACAAAAAGGTCAAGAGCCTCCTGTATGCCTAACACCATGCCAAGGGTTTTTCCATTTCTGATCTGGTAGAAACTCTTAAAGCAAACATGGGGAGTTGATACTGTCACTATTTGAATGATGGTTTTACAGATGGGGGAAAGCTAATATCCTTACCCAGAGCCCCGTGGTGAAAGGCAGAGCCAAGATTCAAATCCCAGTCTATTTGATCTTCAGCCCTGCAAATCTCACCAGGCCTTGAGTTCACTCCTCATCTCAGGGGAGGGGAGTCTGCTTTGTCTCCTTGGCAGTAGGAAGTGCAGTAGCCTGATGGTGGTGGTGGTGCTGCTTGGGTCCCCGGCTGCAGAAAAGTGGCATCATGATTCCTCAGAATCAGCCCTCATTTCCTGAGTTCCTACTCTGAAGAAGAGAAAATCATAGCTCTTTACTTCTAAAACACTTACACATTATCCCAAACCAGATGCTCAAGCTCAGAATGAACGCACAGAAGCTGACCCTTTCAACATAACTAAATCAAGGAACCCAGCCCTCCTCACCTCTACACTCTCCCCTACCTCTGGTCTCCAAGATGGCCTGGTTTGTATTGAGGATCAAGCTATTAATCCTTGTGCACGGGTCTGTGTTGAGTCTGCGTTCTTTCTATTTCCCTGTCCACCTTCTTGACATGTGGGGGCAAAGAGATTCCTTATGGGAAGGGTACAAATTGCCCATGATTAGGGTGACCAGACGTCCCGCTTTTGGCGGGACAGTCCTGCTTTTCAACAATTTGTCTCGCGTCCCGTGGTGTTTTTAAAAAGTCCCAATTTTTGGCTCGGCGCCTGTAGCTCACCCGGCTAAGGAGCCAGCCACGTACACCTAAGGTGGCGGTTCGAATCCCCAGCCTGGACCCGCCAAACAACAATGACGGCTGCAACCAAAAAATAGCCGGGCGTTGTGGCGGGCGCCTGTGGTCCCAGCTACTCGGGAGGCGGCGCAGGAGACTCGCTTGAGCCCAGGAGTTGGAGGTTGCTGTGAGCTGTGATGCCACGGCACTCTACCCAGGGGGACAGCTTGAGGCTCTGTCTCAAAAAAAAAGAAAAAGTCCCAATTTTTGGGAAAAATGCACGAACGGGCAGGAGAACAAGAAGGGAATATACGGTTTTCGGCTGCCTTGTGGTTATTTTGCCAGAATATGATTTTTATATTATTTTTGTTAATTTTATAATGTTAAACTGTAATAATAACAAATAATTGCTGAAAAGTGATTATCGGAAACTGCTTATCAAAGTTTGGATTGTTGTCAGGCCCTGCCCCGTCCCCGCCCTGCTCCCTGGCCATGTTGTCCCGCCTTACCGATGTTAAATTCTGGTCACCCTATCCATGATACAGAGTTAAGTAAATTTAAGAAAACACTACTCTGTGCTCACATTAAGTCTCTGGGCCGCCTGCACTATCTTTTCATACACTGGCAAACTGAAATAATTTAGCCAATACAGTGATGATTTGAAGACTTCACTGAATTTCAAAATATGAACAGTTTAGTTTTTAGTTACTAATAAAATAAAGCCAAATATATTGTGAAATTATAAAATCGTATTTGAGAGGTACTATATCAAAACTAATATCTAGGGTGGAGCCTGTGGCTCAAGGAGTAGGGCACCAGGCCCCGTATACCAGAGGTGGCGGGTTCAAACCTGGCCCCCGCAAAAAACTACAAAAAAAACCCAAAAAACCCTAATATCTGTTTATTCTAGAAGAATATCTAGATCAGTGGTTCTGAACCTTCCTAATGCCGCAATGTATTTTAATTGTTACAAAAGGGTCACAACCCACAGGTTGAGAACCACTGATGATATTAAGAAACACTGTTTTTTAGTTTATGAAATCAAAATACTACAGAGAAACTTTTTCTTTAATTCATGTCATTAGATTTTAATACTGAATCAAGCAATTAAAAACTTTTTATTTCTGCTGATGATCTTCATAACTGTGGGTAGTTTTTGGAACTTTAAATTTATAAACACATCTTTATTTATAGTTGTTTTGAGCCAAGCCACTAATACTAGTCTGTTCAAGGACTTAAAAGTTCTTTCCAACCTATTAACTTTGATGGTCATTGACCTTGTACTTTCCAAAATTCTGATACTATCATTTTTTGTTGGGAGTTAGTTTTAAAAGTACACACTGGCCTCCCATTATTGTATGACATGAGGTTTCATAGTCTATCCAACTGCCTGAAATACTGAGAAGTAACCAAAACAGACACCAGCTAAAAGCTACTGACATATGGAGGCCCCGCCTGACCTGAATGCCTTTAGCTACTGTTGTAGGTAATGATGACAAAAGGCATGACACCTGCAGTATCTGAGTTGTGCTTTTTCTGTCTTAGATCATATCAATTAAGGGCACACTTAACTATTGTCAGGGATACCAGGATGGGGCAAAGAAAGTCAATTCTCAACCACCGAAGAACCTTTACTATTATCTAGCCAGTGGGTCATTACATACAGATATATATGTACGTGCAGGTAATGTGTTCTCACATTTGCTATATTATGTTATGCTATGGACAATTTAAAACTAATTTCCAAATGATTCTGTCAAAGCAGTCATATGATAAAATTACTTCTATATTAGTAACAACTTGATGATTAAACACACAGTAACACATAGTACTTTGAAAATCCAATATTTTATTACTCATTTGTTTACCTTCATATTTTACTCAATATGGATATTAAAACTAATCTTATTTTAGATTCCTTATCTGTTCTCTGAATAAATTGTGTGGCATGCAGTCAAATAGCCACTCTAATAATAATATACTGTGTTTTTTTTTTTTTAAAGGTGGTACTTTTATTGAAATATGGTGTTTTTGCACGGATCCTGTAATTGATCACACCTTTTGGGATTTTTCAAATGTTTAGACCCTTCCCCCACACCATACTGATAGATAGATCTTGTATCACAATAGAAAAGTTTTACAACCTTGACATTTGGGAATCAAATGGATGAGTGACTCAAATGGATGAGTGTATAAAATTATTGTTTGTAACTTGACTTTTATCTATGGTCTGAAAACCAAAAGGAACTCATCTTCCCTATGTTATTTGAAATATTTAAAATTGCCTCCCTGACCCTGTGCTGGTTGTCATGAATTGCCTCTAATGCGTGAATATTTTTCTTTCTCTTTTACAGAATCCTAATGCTCATCCAAGGCCCACCTCCCAGGATTTGGCGGGGTTTTGGGACATGCTGCAGTTGTCCATAGAAAATATTAGTATGAAATTTGATGAACTTCATCAGTTAAAGGCCAATAATTGGAAACAGATGGATCCCCTTGACAAGAAGGTAGAACAATGTAGATTTTGTATGGTTCATTTAAAAACCTGCACAAACACTGGACAGTCTAAATAGGCTTCTGCATTCAGTCCTGCTGTTTACAATGTGAAATGGAGCTGATATCATATTAATTTAATTGTAATCACAATGTTTACATAGTAATCATTTGGGATCTGATCTGTAATATGTTTCAGGCATATTTTTAAAGAAAAACCTGTCTTTGTGAATTGGAAAATGGGAATGTGGCGCTTTTTTGTCAATTAAACTTTAAGTTAAACCATTTTAGTCACTGGAAGGAACTGCCTCCATTTTGCTTTTTAAACTAAAATAAATGACATCTTCAGTGCATGAATCCATAGAGCAAGAGTTCAACTTCCTTACACCCCCCCCAGGATGTGTTTTCGAGGAAAATAGGAAGCCCTGCAAAATAACTGACTTTGATACTCATTTCATAAATATAGTAATAAAGAAATCACTGTTGTTCAAGTCAAAAACTATACACTATGAAGTTTCACATTATATAAATGTTGGGATTTTTTTTTTTTTCAAAAGAGCTTTGTTTTTGGTTGATTTGCCTTGGGGAATATTGCTCACTGGGGTCCTCATTGCAACAGTTTAGAAATAAAGACTTAAATTATTTTACTTTAATTAATCAATTGTAATTTTCGCATCTGATTATGGTGGTTCCAGCAGGCTCACACAGGTATCCAATGTGCAGCTCAGCCTGTCAAGCATGACTTTTTTAACCCTTTACTCTCCAATGGCCTCAAGTCAAATTGTTCCAACAAAGTTATTCTCTGAAAATTAGAGCTGGCAATTACCTTGAAGTGCTGGTGGCCCTGCCCCTTTCAGGTCTGCTTACTTATCCAATTCGTTCTGCTGCTGTGCATGATATTGTCAGGGTTCTTGGGGTCGATGGACTCCCAGGAGAAATTCAGTCCCTAGGGACCATCTGTAGGTGACAAGATGGCAGTGCTCTCCTACCCTCCCCTATCTTAAGTTCTGTCACCATCAAACTGGGAGTTTAGTGTTAAACTTGGAAGTACCAGGATGTATTCTTCTCGCTTGGAAAGCCAAGCATTTGCACCCAATCTAGTTTTCTTTAGTCTATGTTTAAAACTACCTCCTAGATAAGCTTTTTTAAAATCAACCTTATTTTAAGAAAACACTACAGATGTACACATGCTGGTAATTTAGTTTTCGGAGCTCATCTAATTTCTCATTCAGTGATTTTAAAAAAAGAATTATTGTTAAAAAAATACACAAAGAAAGAAAAATGACTAAAAAATATCTAATATTTATACTTTTTTTTTTTTTTTGAGACAGTCCCTATTGCCCTCGGTAGACTACCGTGGCACCATAGCTCACAGCAATCTCAATCACCTCTTGGGCTCAAGCAATCCTTTTGCCTCAGCCTCCTGAGCAGCTGGGACTACAGAAACTCACCACAATGCCCAGCTAGTTTTTCTATTTTTAATAGAGACAAGGTCTCCCTCCTGCTCAGGCTGATCTCAAACAATCCACCTGCTTCAGCCTCCCAAAGTGCTAGGATTACAGCCTGGCAAATTTTATACTTTTAAAAATATTCACTGAGTTACCCCACCATGGAGATTCAAAATATCTAAAAAAAAAAAGTGATGCTAAGAATTGATATATGTAACAAAGTAAATCTTCAGTTAGACTGATTTTAAAATTGTTTGTTTATTTTTTAATGGACTTTGTCTATGATCAGAGCTTTTCATCACCCCATGAACCTGGGGGGGGGGGAATGAACGAACACAACCGAAATGGGTGGAATATCATTTGCTCTCTGTGCTCTCCTGTTCTCTCCTTTATGCTACACAAACTCCACCTTAAAGAGGCGGCAGGGCAAGCCAGGGTGTTAAGCTGAGCTGGCAAGCTCAGCTCCTGGCAAGCAAGGAGCCGCTATGCTAAGCATGAGTGTTAAGACAAACAGTGCCCTTTGGAGAATCACAAAAATGATTCATATCGTTGGACAGGATATGCTGTCCATAAAAATGAGAGAATCCATATCCTAAGATCATCTTCACAGCTAGTTTTATGAGAATTGCGGGCATTTTATTTAAAATCAAGACTTCAGATTTATATGGACTTTCTCATAGTCTGTAAGTCCAAACTTCTCTCTCTGAAAATCCTTGGATAGATGCCTCATTCTTTCACACTGCATTTTTTTCCTACCAAAGGGAGAACATCTTTCGTTTTTGCAGTGACATTGGAAATATCTCCCTGTTTTATAGTTTGCTGCTGCTTAAGAGGGATGACCCCTTTCATCCTGTGTTAACTTCCCCTGGCACAGTTTCTGGCCCCGTGATAGGAATTGCCTGCGGGCCACCACAGCCATCCGAGGCCCCTAGTAAGAGTCATCCTGGAACGGACTCCACTCGGGAGCCTGGGAAATACCAGTGTGCTCCGTCTCTGGTGCCCCTGCCCAGTAGACTGCATGCGTATTCACGTGTGATGTGCACCAGCCGAGCTGAGAACACAGTCAGAAGTCGTATCTCTTCCTCCTCATTTGGTTCTTTAGGTTTGGGGGAAAGGTGCCTGGGTGGGCCTGGAGAGAGGGTGGAGAGGTTTTTAATTTCTGAACCCAGCTTGCACCTGATGAGTTACCTCCTTAGAGGCGATGCAGAGTTCTCGGACGCTGCTGCCGCTGCTTCCTAGCCCGTCTGGCACCAGGAAGAGTCTGGAATCTCCAGAGAGAACCACACTCGGTGTGCTGGGGAGCTACGGTCTTTCAGCAGGGGGCATTTAAAATACCACATCCTTCCCTTGGAGAGACATAGTTCTTCAACCCAGCCTTGCCCTTGGCCTTAAGCTTACCGGGATTTTTTTTCCCCTACATCTTTTGAATACCCAAGCCAGAATAATGAAGAAAAAATATATACATACATACAGTGTGCAGATCAGAACTTACCACCCTTAGGTTAGGGAAAAAAAAATGTCTTAACTACTGACCTATCCCAGTTTTTCCCAAGCTTGTCCTGAGAAGCTGTGTAATGTCCTGAACCTTCTGCTTTGATCAGGAGCGAAGGGCCCCTCCTCCAGTGCCAAAGAAGCCGGCGAAGGGCCCCGCGCCGCTGATCCGGGAGCGCTCGCTGGAGAGCTCGCAGCGCCAGGAGGCCCGCAAGCGCCTGATGGCCGCCAAGCGCGCCGCGTCCGTCCGCCAGAACTCGGCCACCGAGAGCGCCGAGAGCATCGAGATCTACATCCCCGAGGCGCAGACCCGGCTCTGAGCGCCGCCCGGCCAAGTATCTGTCCCCAACTCCTCCCCTCCGCCCTCTGCCGTCTCTCCTGCCCCGACCCCTCCGAGCCCGTCTGTTTCTGCGCTCGGTGACTTCCACTGTCGTGGCGTAGCTGTCCACCTCGCAGGAGCCGTCCGCCAGCCCTCCCCACGCTCCCGGGACCTGCGGGCCCATCTTCTCACCGCGCTTCGACCCCCACCCCCTACCGATGCTGTCACCCTGCCTCATAAAAAACAAACAAAAAACCCCCCACCCTTTATTTTCTGGGCAAAGCCAAACCCACCTGTGTAGAAATGGCACCTTTAGGTCACCCGCCATCCTCAGTTCTCTTGAGCTAGTCTGTTCCTAGAGCTCAGCAATATTAAACCATAGGGTATTTCAGAAATCCAGTATCACAGGGTGATCCTTTGGACTTGACCGTCTTCCACATGAAGGAAACTAGGGCTCCCTTTATTTCCCCTAAGTGGTTATTCTTTTTAAACAAGCAGATGGAACACTTTATTTCCAATCTCAGAAATCACCATCTCGCGGGAATCAGTGAGTGAGTTAGAGTCTGGCCTGGGGGTGGGGGATCTGGGAGTGTCGCAGGGAAGGGAGAAGCAAGACCTGCAGGTGCTGGGGGCACCTGCGCCGCTCACAGCTGCACAAACTGCCTCACTGTTAACTTCATCGATCACAGCTTCAAATGTTTCAATCAGCAGAAGATTGTAAATTCGATCTTTCAGGGAAATTAATCATTCCGAAAGGCAATAAAATGAACAAAGGCAAGGCAAAGAAAGTGTGATGGTTTAAGATACAACATAGGGTTTTTTTTGTCCTATTATTAAGACAATTTAGACCTTACATGCTTTCTCAACTTTCATTGTACTCTGTATATTATATTGTTGTTGTGGCGGTGGTCGTCCAAGGGGAACGTGTTCTGGTAATTTGCTGGTGTCCATCCTGGTGGGTCTACCTAACGACAGGCATGTAAGTACAGGTCTGCTTAGGAAGCGCTGCAGATGGCAGGAAGGCTGTTTTCAGAGCCAAGTTTGGGTTTTCCTACCATCCCTTTGAATGCTACACACCCATTTATTTTACCTAAGTGGTTCGTATTTCAGATATTTTTTCTCCTTTAGTCTCCTCTCAGGACTAGACAGAGTCCAGTAGTACCTAGCATAGGATTTTGTCCTGTGTCAAATGGCCAAAACGAATCTTCTACCCCAACAGACATGCTGCCTCACTCTAGAGAGCTGCCACTGTTATCTTGAGGCTCTGCGTAGTGAGAGAAGAAATTTGACCTGCAGGGTCAGCCACCATAAGGAGGGGGAATAGTCATGATTCATAAACCATGAAAGAAATCCAGGCTTTTGGCAGAGATGGTTGATTTACATTTTAAGTCATGATTGACAGGCAGTGTGCATTGGTGTCTAGCTGAAGTTGTCTTTAAATGCCCTTACTTGTAGCAGTTTAAACATTTAGAATGTGGCAATCTTAAAGTATCACTGGCATTTTATGTCCAGCTCACACCCTAAAGCATTAGAAATTACCATGGAAAAGTGAAAGACTTTTAAAAACATACATCAAATATGCTTGCACCAGAGAAGCTTTTTTAAAAAACACACTATCATAGCCAGGTGCTAATTTAATTTTACTTACGAAATTCAGAGAGGTGATGGATTCTGGCAACCAGTATTTTCACAAACATACTCTAAAACCACTAGAGAATTCGCTACCTCTCAGAGCCATTGATGCTTTGAGCTATCTTTATAAACAGGGCACAAATGTTTACTGCTGTGGTTTACAAGAAAAGGGCTACTAATTTTAAAACCAACCAACCAACTTTTAACTAGGGTGAACAAAGCACGTTGAGTGCTTTGGAAAATTGGAGCATAGAGAGATTTTGAGCTTCAAGTATTTGCTAGTTTTAAAAAGAATACACCTTTTCTTTACCTTGTAGCAGCAATGAAAAGTCCCAAGTCACACAAAGTTTGCATTGAGTAAGGCCAACTGCCACTTGGGTAGCCTATGGTCATGTTCAGTAGTGAGAATGACTCGGAACTCACAGATTAACTCGAACGAAGCAGCATTCATTTCAAGATCCATGTTCATAATTACAGCTCCGTGCCCTGAGGCAGAATTACGATTTGGATTAAGAAATAGATTTCTAGTATGATTCAAGATCATCCTACAATAATTTCTTTGGGAACTGATTCAGCCCAGGATATTTTAAAGAGAAATAAGAGAAGGCCTATTTATCTTGTCTAAGTGAATGGTATTTGTATATTCATAAGCTATTTTTGGTAAGAATTTTAAATCTTTTAGCTCAACGCCTACAGGGCATCATGACCTTTGCCTTCCTTAAAAAATGCAGTTTAAATTGTATAAACACTTTATAAAAAGCTAATTATTGATGTTAGAACACGACCCCCACAATGCTGCTTGACCCCTTAAACTGACATTCATGAGCATAACCTTTGTTACATTGTTCTTTTTGATGTGATTTGTAGAAATGTTTTTTAGTTCATAATGGAAAATGTACGTACCCTGAAAAATTACTTATTTTGTTTAACTTTGGTATAAAGGTGTTGGGCATTTTCTTGGGGAGGGAGGGATTACAAAAGAAGTTTGTCTCCCACATCAAAAAACGTTCAAAGAAATTAAGTATTTATTATATTTTTTGCAGATGTTTCCATACAATTCACATAACCTTTTTGTAAAGAGAGATGAAGAAATGGATTAAAGATTTTTAATATTTGAAATGGTAAATAGAACTAATTTATTTGTAATATATTTCTGTTATTTATAGATGTTTCCTTAATGTTTGTGCATTACCACTTTAATTTAAGCCTTATCCTTGTGAATTTACCATTTCTTTTTTAAAACATGTCTAGATGCATATTTTAAATAACTGGAATGTAAATCACTAGCATATCTGAATTCCCAAATGTAATTTTTAAAAATTATTTTGGTTTGGAAAAAAAAAAAAGATTCATTTGAAAGCCTTCAGATGGAGGGGTGGGGAACATTTTTATGGCTTTATGAATTGGAATTTCATAGGCTTCTTTACCTAGATTGTGTGTGGAAAAAAAAAGTTGTAAATAGATGAATGTTTCCCATAATGTAAAAAGAAGAAATTAATAAAATAATTAATGCACTGCTTTCAGGTCTGAGTGTTTTTGATTATAGAGTCCCACTTCTTCCAAAATATAAGTAATTGCTTTGTGAGGGGAAGAGTTAAGTAATGAAGAAGTCTATCCTTCTAACTTTCACAAGTTGTATGCTACTCACTGGTCAGCAGGTAGGGAGAGTTTGCATCCTATTGAAGAGATTTCCATACTGAAGGATTAAAAATCACCCAAAAATGAAGTCTCTGGTCAAGAGATGGATTTCAGCGAGTATCCAGTATGTTTTCTATGGCAGCTCTTAGCCTTTCAGATGTGCAAATCTGTATATATTTTACCCACTTCAACTTCTTTGCCTGTTATTTCATCTGTTCTGTTTCCTACACAGTTCTCAAAGGTAGGGAAAACCCTAGTAATGCTGGGTGGTTTTCATGCTATTCTCACAGTTATATAAAAACTGTGTTCATGGAGATTTAATGAATTGCCCAGTGTGACACAATTATTAAGGGACAGATCGGGGTTCAGAACCAGTCTTTGCTCTTTCTCTGTATAGTCTCTATCATTCTTCCCACATTTAAAAATGCTAAGTATTTGCCATTGTCAATTTCATCTGGTTTTCGTCTTCTAGGTCATATTTGTAAACTTTATAAAAATAATACAGATGTATCCCCCCCCAAAAAAAAGGTAAATTAGAATATTTTACCAACTGGGCTTTCACTTATCTGTTACTTGAAAATGCCACCATTCAGAAACCTGTGTCTGTAATGCTTCTTCCTAATCCTCACCAAGTTCTCGGGTAAACCCATCCACCTACATGCAACAAACTTAGAAATTGGTGACCACATCAGCCACTTTTTCTAATTTTTTGCACATAAGTAAGAGCCAGGCCTGTCACCAAAATAATGTATTGTTCTTTTGACACGGCTTTGAACCAAGAATAATTAAGTGACTAAATCCCTGTGAGGTTACAAAGATCTCATTACTTTGGTTCATGCACTGACTATTCCCATAGTCTTAACTGTGATTCTAATTTTTGCTTTTTCACATATTAATTCTTATATTTCATCCTGGCTCTTTAAACATTTCAGTTAATCCCAGAACAAAATGAGTTAGCTTTTGTATGTAGAAATTTGAATTTCAGTGAAGCAATTTTCCATGTTTTGAGGTCCCACCCTCCCTCCACCCCCCAAAATGTAATTTAGGGTCTTTTTTTTTATAGAAATTGAACAAAACTGTTTGTTCTGAATGTGACTTTCTTTTTATATCTTTGAGTTCCACCCCTTAAGACTATGAATTGATTTTGCTTTAAATAAATGACATATTAAAAATTACGGTGTCTGAGTGTGTTCATTCTCAAATGCCACTGATACTGAAGGGTGCCGAAATTTACCTGGGGTTTGCTCAAGAGGCTGTTTGACTTTTAGCTTCTGAGCCATGATCAAATCAACTCCTTTTGCAAACAGAAACTGGGGGCCCTGTCTGAAACTCTCCCATCGTTCCAACTCACTTACTTGTACAAGTTTATGAAATAGGTCTTACATTCCACTGTAAGTCACTCATCCTCTCCTGTGAAGCAGAGAGAGGAGAAACAGTGTGCTACTTCCTGGTCCTAAGCTCTGCTCTGGGCTTGCTGCTGGCCCAGGGAGGCACCAGCAGGAAATTACAGGAATGTGAATCCCTGATTCCTGATGTCTGCGTCTCTCAGTTTACACAGCCCAGGGATTATTTCGATAGATCCTCTTTGTCAATGAGCAAAAGACTGATCATACAGAAAATGCCCAAAAGCAAGCAAATTGTCCCAAATCCCAAAAGTCAAGCTCTGCGGTGTAGCCCAGCAAATAGCTCTGCTATTTATGGCACAAAATGTTTTCACTGGTCCTGATTAAG